CAGAGTGTCTCTGGTGTGACTATTGCATACATGTATCTTTTACAAAAAGTGTCAAGATTTCACTTTCAGATTGTGTATGCAAGAATATGAATGGAAAAGCTTATTCCCAAGAGAAGTTCCCAGGATAGCCAGCACCTTAGTAATAACTGAGGTAGCTTTTAGTATAAAGTTAGAAAAGCCCAGATCAATGTACATGTCAAAGTGGTGCTGGAACAATGTGCAAGAATATAAACACATGGTGTTAGAACAGCCAGGGACACAGCAGCAGAGTTGCTAGGGACACAGCAGCAGAGTTGCTAGCTGTGGTAGGGGAGGGTGGGAAGGAATGCAGAGCAAGAGGAATGAAGTAACGGAAATGAGTAGCAAAAGAAGTAAATGAGAAACAGGTTTATCCCCTTTTGTGGTGCCGGGGAATCTTTTCTGCTTGTCTTCTTGCTTAGTGATGGCAGAGTATTCCAGGTGATTAATGTTCATTATCTTATCAAAATTTTGGATGAATCTTTGGATTATTTGATTTTTTTATATTTTTTTTTCTGTAAGAACACATGGTAAACTACTGACCTTTGTCATACACAAATCCGTTGGCATGAAAATACATTCAGTAGTGCATTACTGAGCTATCTGATTCCTATGAAGAGGTATGCTGTAGGAAAAGAAAACCTAAAACACCATCTTTTGAACTGGAGGTGTTTGATACTGTGCTGAAAGCTTCTGTCACGTTGCTGCTCTCAGCAGTGTGATATTCTGCAGTAAGAGACCAAGCAAGGCTCAGCTGTTTTCTCAGGAAAAAGTGCTGTCTCCCATATTGCTGTCCATTTTAGTTCAATGCTTACAGAAGGGTGACTTAAATTCCCAGCAGGTTTTGTTTCCCTATGGTTATGCTATGCTGCCTCCTTAACCAGTGCCTCCCAACCTGATGTACTTCCTGACTTCCAGTTTCATTAGGCATTTCTGCCAGTTCTTCAGTATTAGATGCTGCTGCTATGAATCAATCTCACTGTCTTTATATTGAAATATCATAGAACCATAGAAAGGCTTGGGTTGGAAGGGACCTTAAAGCTCATCCAGTTCCAATTGCCCTGCCATGGGCAGCATCACCTTCCACTAGACCAGCTTGCTCAAGGCCCCATCCAACCTGGTCTTGAACACTGCCACAACTTCTGTTGGGCAACTTCTGTGCAGCCACAACTTCTCTGGGCAACCTGTGCCAGTGCCTCACCACATTCACAGGAAAGCATTATTCCTAAAATCTCATCTCAGTCTCCCCTTTGTCAGTTTAAAGCCGTTCCCCTGTGTCCTATCACTACACGATCTTGTAGAAAGTCCCTCTCCAGCTTTCATGTAGGCCCCCTACAGGTACTGGGCTATCACTGTTTCCAGTATGGGCACTGAGAACAAATTACTTAGTTCCATAGTTTAACATTACATGACAAGTTTTCCTTTTGTATGATATAGCTCTCTGGTCAAATGGAATCAAACTGAAATGCCTGAGCACTTGACTTCAGAGGAAGGAGGAGTGTGCTTTCTTAAGTGTAGTTAATGTTTTAATTCCTTTTGATTGACATGCTTTAGAGGTGAAATCTCTCACTTTACAGGTGTTTACTTCACAATGGGGGGAAGATTTTCCCACAGTATGTGTTGGTGTATGGGATGCTCGTACAATCAGAGTCTCTGTTACTGGAGAGCGCTGTTCAAGGAACAGAACCAACTCTTGGGTTTAACATAGCCCCATTCATCAACCAGTTCAAGGTATGAAGTTGGTGGGTGTCTTACAGACACAGCTTCAAAGCCTGCAGGTGTCAGTCTTTTTAGTTTAGGTATCAACTCCAAGAGAAGTGAAGAGCTGAAACTTTTTTTTTACTGTTGAAGTTATCAAGAGAGGCCTCTGTGACCAGACAGGGACCTTGAGATAAACTAAAATGGGTAACATTTGGTTTAGAACTGGCGTGGGAGAAGCTTTGTCTGAGTATGAAAAATATGAAAGAGTGACTGTGCTGTTATGATCTCTTTTACCACCCTGTATCCCAACAGTCATGTTTCAAAAGGGATTAAAAGGGTGTGGTTTGCATTTGGGCAGTCTCCTACAGGGACTATAGTAACTCCTAGAAACTTCTGCATTCTGATAAATTTTGCCCTTTTTAATGGCTGATGCCTAACGTTACGGTCTGTACTTTTAGGTACCCGTTCGTGTGTATTTGGATCTCTCCACGTTACCATGTGTACCCTTGAGCAAGCCAGCAGAGCTGTTAAGGCTCGATCTCATGAACCCTCTGTTAAACAGCTCCAGCAGAGAGGTCAAGGTGAGTTGTTCATATATGAAATTAGAAGTGCATGTAATTGTCCTGCAGAGCTGCTCATTCATTGCTCACCTTGGCTGAAAATGTCAATATAGGATTTACTTGGCTGCAAGTATCTCTGAAATGGTTTGAACTACTTTATTTTCTTACCCCTTTGAAAAAGGGGTAAGTGATTCAATTAATACTTTAAATATTTTCAGGTACAGATTTGTAAGTCTGGCCAAGTCACTGCAATTCCCTTCTGGTACCACATATATCTTGATGAAGACCATAGCTTGAATACATCTGATGAGTCCTCACACTGGAAACAAGCTGCAGTTGTTCTTGATGAGCCACTCCAAGTTCAGGTTGGAGATGAACTTACGCTTGATGTTCAACACCATAAGAGCAATATTTGTATTACAGTTAAAAGGTGAAGAATGTAAATCAACTTGTGGTTAATTACCTATGCAGAAATGGAGTGTTCCTAACACCACTGATGTTAATTTATATTAAATTTTATTCTGATCAAAAAGATTCTTGTGTTTCTTTCATAGTAGATACTTTGTTACCCCTTGTGGTGCAAGCTGAAGTCTACCAATGGTATCTTACCATGCTCGCTATTGCAGTGACTACAGCTTGCTCCTGCATCATCTGTATTCAGAAAAAAAAGCACCAGATGCCTGTACCAGAAATAAATAGCTATGATTGTTCAGGATGGAATCCTTGCTTCTCAAACTGCAGTTACATTTCTTGGTTACCAAACCATCCCACTTAAGTGTACTGAGATGTTATCAGCCTTGTAATGCCATTCCACTTGCAATATTGCAAGTTAGTGTTGTGCATAGACAGTAGTAAAAAGTTGCTGTTTAATAACTGAAGTTGTGTAGTGGAAGGTAGAGCTCACACATTTCTTTCATTCTCTGAATGAGTCTTTGCTGGTAGTAAAAGGGGCCTGGATATGAAAGTTGTATAAAATATAACATCAGTCACCACAGTACTCCTGCATCTCTTGTATAGCACTGCATTTTGGTATAATGCAGGTAACAAGTTCCTTCTATTAAATTTATATCCAAATGGAAGACTAACAAAAGCTGCTCCCTCAGCATTGTTTGTTTCTGCTTCTGTGGAGCCATGAGGAAGACTCTTAGCAAGCTATTTTTGTAACCAGTTTCCTTATACTGTGCTGCCTATTTAATGTACAGGAGTCTGTGTAATGTGCTATCCACAAAGCATTTTTCTAGAATCCTACTGCATGCAAGATTCATGTGTGCTCTTCATCAGGTCAGATGTTTCAGTTGAACTTCAGGGATGACTGGAGCTGTGTTGTACCAGCCTGTACCTGACACATTGCTGTAATAAAGCCCCTACTATAAGGATGGAGGAGAGGTCTCCAATTTAGTTGGTTTTGGGGTTTGGTTTTGTTTTTTTGTTTTTTTTTCCCCAAACAGAGGTAGTGACTTCCAAGTCAAGTTTTCTGAAGAAACTGGATACTGTTCTTTATCCAGAGGGCACAGTGCATAAGAAAATCTAAGTGAATTAGAGTAGAAGAGGCTTTTCTTACTACACAGAAAACAGCTTTTCCAAGAAAAATCAAAACACCCCCACAAAACCAACAAAACAAGAAGAAAAAACCCCTAAAAAACACAAAACCAAAACCATAATCCATAACATGTAAGTTACTGTCTGACACAGGGTATTTTTAATGAAGTGCAGTTTTACTTAGAAGTGTTTAGGCTTCTCATGGTGGAAGACAAAAAGCAAAACCATAAAATAGCAGTTATGTTTTTCAGTAACCACTAAGCAAAATGAGTTAAAGAAAACTTAAGGACATACTCTACCCTTACTCAAGTGAGATTAAGTAAAGGGCTGAAAGTGACCCTGAGTTTTCAAGCCATGTGTTTAATAAGTAAGGCAAGCATAACCTTTAAGACTTAATGTAAGGATAGAGTATTTGCTTACACACTTTATATTTAAATTTGATGGGTCATGCTGTGGAATACACTTGTAGTAGTTTTCAGAAGACAGGGTGTCACTGACAGATTTCTGTTTATTTTGGAAATTCAGTAGCAATCCTTAATGGAAAGGTGTGTTCCTGTAAGCTACTGTAATGAAAAAAATAACTTTTCTCCCAGAAAGAAAAAAGCAGGAATAGTGTGCACATGGAATAACTGCTCTATAGTAAAATAACTTTGTAGCTTTCCAGAAATGCCGTGACAGAAGTAACCAAGATGCTTAACTAGCTCTTCTCCTACCAAAGCCCCCTCTCTGCACCATACCCAAGTTTTACACCAAACACACCTAACTTCAGGTATTAAACCAATTGCTTCAGTGTGTTGGTTACTGAACAGGTACTTGGCTTCCAGCAGCTCTGATCCTTCAGATACTTCTACTAATCCCCTGTATACATGCAGGAAATTAGTTATTTTCCAGTAGTGACTGAAGTGGAAGCTTACAGGCATTGTGAGCCTTTGCAAGCTGCTTCAGTTTAGAACATGTCTATTACATGGATAAAAAGATACCTGGACTCAAGCACAGATCAGGAGATTTTGATTCTTCAGAAGCTCAGTGAATTCCCTTTTCAGTGCAATCCTTAAAGTACTGAAAGCACACTCTTGTGTTATTTACACTGCAGATCCCCCTCTTCCATGAAGAGGGCAGCTGTATTCATGTGTCATTCCCACTCTTTAAATTACTGCAACAGTAAGTCAAATTGCAAGAAGGTGAAGAGTTTAAATAAAATCTTTAATTGCTTATTTACAACAAAGGCAATGACTTGGCAAATTGAAAATTATGATTTGCACTTTCCCACTAAGTTCAGATACAGCAAATACAGTCACCTGTAAAATATGCAGCCTAGTGAGTAAGGCGCAATATTTACATCACACTAGTACTGCAAAAAAAAAAAACAAAACAAAACAAAAAAAACCCCAAACAAATCAAAAAGCACTTAGATGAATTTACTGGGACAGCCAGAAGTTAAACATTATCTTGTAAATGCTAACAATGCTAGAAAAGAGCCTTTAGGTGTCATTTAAAAGGTCAGTGCTGTAGGGTTTTTTGTCAGATTGCGAACATGCAACAGGAGTAAAAATCTGATAATGGGATAAAAACAACAGTCCTCTGATTCTGTCAGTTTTGCAAAATAATGTTTTGATACAAGCATACTTCTTAGTCAGACATCTAATGCCGGTAACTCCAGTACTAGACTACCTACTTAGTTTTACCTTAGCAAAGGTCTTTTCTGGGGGTTGGTAGGCAAAATCGCCTCTTACATTTGGATCCAGGCTATACTAGAAGCATAATACAGTAATCACACATACACACAAATTTATGAATACAAATTACTACAGACACATTGTCAAGGTATCCTGCTTTAACAGCTTAAAAAAAGAACAAACTTAAGTGTTAAATAATTTACTGTAGCCCAATATTAAGAAAGCAGTTTTGGTTTGTAACTCCTTTTTGACATCCTTTATTCCCTCCCCCCATATTTTAAGGTAGTAACCATTACTCTTGTTTTAGAAGGATAGGAAAAAAAGTCAATTGTAAGGTATTAATCCAGAACCTATCATCCCAGCTGTCTCAGCTGAATGTAAAAGACAAATCATGAGCTACAAGAACAACAGCGCCAACTGTATGTGCTGGGCATGGAATTTCATAGCGAGGCCTGAAAGGAATGCTTGCATTGTATAGATGCTTCACTGATGCTCTGTAATAATTCATCTTCATGAAGGGGTTTTATTTAGCTATGAGAAGGGGAAGGTGATGGCATCTGTACAGAAGTTTCCATTTCACCCACACTCCACTCAGCATTGGAGCATGGAAGTTAACCACTGTTAAGAGGACAACCAAAGCTAATACAAACACTTTTTGCTACTGCCCTCCTTAAATTACATTCTTGAAATTAAGTTTTTCCATCACTAGCAGCACTTACACTTCATCTTTAGAAGACCAGAGTATTTTTTCAAATACTTCTCTTGTATTAAGAAAAGTCAGCGTAATTTTGACATGTTGTGTAAGCGTTTAGCAGTTTAAGGAGTTGATTCTTAAATGTATGCAGAAACTGTTCCAGTGTGCGTGGTTTATATTCATGGGGTACTCACAGATATATCCATTATTGGTTCCAAATTCAGCTGTCAGTTGCAGCCATATCCTGTTCCTGTCCGCACAGCAGCTTTTCCAAGCTTTTCAAACTTCCATCACTAGGAGTATATGTTAACAGAATATGTGTGGCAAGCATCTCACAGACTCCTTCAGACGTTCAAGGAAAAGGTGAGTCTAACTTTTATCCAGAGCTTTTTCTGATAAATTGTGCTCTAGTTCAGGTGACTCCTCAGCATCTTCAACAGCATTAGTGTTATAAATACCATCTACTGCAGGGGCTGTCGTCGGTGTTGTAAGAGGTGTCACAGTGTGTCCAAACCCCTGGTAGTGGCCCATGGGGGAAGATGGCATCGAAGAAGCATCTGAAATTGGGTCTTGAGTAGATGAAGACAGTAGACTCGTATGCTCATTTTGTTCATGATCCTCAGCAAAAAACATTTTCCTTGGCTGGCCCAAAACTGTCCTTCCTAGAATTATGCCAAATGAAAATACTTTTTAATACTTCCAGCACTATACCAAGGTCTTCGAACACATCAACTCTAAAACAGGCATGTTAAATTAGAAGATGAGGCTTTGTCTTGTAAGATTTTTTATATGGACATTGTTAGCTTTAATAAATAAAAGGATGTCTTTCCAATAAAAAAACCAACAAAAAAAATGAAGCTGAAAATACACCTGCTGTTAACAGATTATTCAGATCAGCCTGTTACTTACCAACATTTCGAACCTGTTCTGATATATCTGCCCTTATATCAGAAATATCCCACATTGCAAGAAAAGAGTCAAAGCATGACCCTTCTTCTGCTTCTTGAACGTAAGGTTTGTAGGAAAAACTGTAGTGATGTGCAATAGCTGCCAGGAACATCTCAACACAAATGATAAAATCCTGCAATGAGAGAGAGAGATTGATTTAATCATTCGTAACTGCAGAAAAATAGTTCTGGGTTTCTTTTGTAACTGAAAGACTGCAATTGCCTTGGGATACTGGCATCAGCTATTTTTCCGCCAGAGGCAGGATATTCTCAGCAGGCTTTGGAGAGCCACATGTGCTATATACATACAGGAATTAGTCCTTGCCTGAGGGACTGACTTGCTGAAAGCAAATATTCAACAAGCAGCAGCTCTGCAATGAATTATTGCAAGAAGAAATGCAAGGAAGTATTTAACTGGGGTATACTTCTGCCCAACACATGGAAATAAAAAGTGTTGAGCGTAAAACTCACTTGGGGTGACTGGCTGAAACTCAGGCTAAGTTATACTAAATTCAGTACGAATCTAGCCTGTGTTAATTAAAGTAAGCATGACAATATTTGCTTGAGATCAGCTGTGTCACCCTATATACAGCCATTCGTAAGAACTCATTGTCTGCTCCTACCTGTAGGCCCGTGGCTACAGCTTCCACACTTTGCCATTCCCAGGTGTGTTTCTCAGAAATAACGCCAACTTTCACCAACAATGCAATAAGCACAGCTTGCCTACAAAGATTATTTTAATATATAATTATTGTTGCTGTTGTAACAGTAGTGCCAAAAACCCTGCAAATAAAGCTGGTACATGAGTCCTGTTTGTATGTACACACAGGAAGAACCTCACAAAACCCATACTGTTTATGTATTTAGATTTTAAGAGGAAGAAAACAGACTTAAAAGAGATGTCATTCATCTGTGGTCCTAAAGATCACCTGAGAACATAACCAAATAAGAGTCTGTTGTTTCAGTTGGTTATTAGAACAAGTTGCTTCTCTTTCAGGGTATTAACTGCAGCCCATATGTTCAGCCCTAATGTTCAGACAGTCAAATGCACTTATTCATTAGCAGCCAATTGTGAGCTATGCTTAAATAGTAATTCATGGTTAACTTATAGTCCCTTACTTTGAAAACCAGTTGCCTTTTTTTTTACTTTAAAAAGAAAAAAATATTTTTTTTCTTTTGAAATACATGCAAGTGAAGATTCTAAAATAAACTATGCTCTTGAGCATCACCTTACAAAATACCAAGTCTGAAAAATAGGTGAACAAGACTGCTGTGCCCAGTGTATGAGCACCCTTCCCCCCTCACAATACTTTACTAGTATTATGGGTAGATTTTTTGAGGGCTCTAAACTCAGTAACAATATAGCTTTTTTTTTTTTAGCTCTTTTATGATCTACCCTGAGAGCAAGAAGTAATGAGTAAATAATTCACTTACCAGAAAGAAACAAAAACTACCATCTTCACACAGAGGAACTTGCCAACAGGTTGGATAGGGTTCAGTTCGTCACGTAGCACTTTATAAAACAGCACCAGACAATACATAGCAAACTAACAAGAAAATGAAAAAAATACTTGTTTATTTGCTTTCAAAATACTTGTTTATTTCGCGAGGGAGTTGTTTTACAGCATCTCTTGAGTTAAAGAATATATCACAGCACAACACAAACTTAAAAAGCTATTTTAGACAAGAGGCTCTGAATTTATGCAATCTTTGCCTTGCTGTTTTAAAGCAGACCTCTTTTTTTTGCCTGGAATTGTATTTCTGAAATTCATGGTATTGGCAGACAAAGGTCATCTGTCTACACACTCAAGCAAAGCATAGGAAGGTCCCATAAAATCTTTTCAATGCCAAGCTAGGGAAAATGGAACAAAAAGGACATGTTCTTTCAGCCTTCTGTTAGGAACACCTCAAATGTTGCCTCTTTATGAGAGATGAGGCAATGAATGCAATCTTCACTGCTAATCTGAACGTATTTCCTATTAATGACAACTGCAAGCAACCAAACTGATGTATAGCCAAACCTAAGGAATCTATCTGCCCTTTTCACACATACTCTCCTAGCCTCTTACTATCAAGTTTCTTCAAGCAATCATGTCAACCAGTACATATAGAAGTACGTGCTGCTTCTGGGAGTGTTGTCACAGCAGAAATAAATTAGAACACCTTCTGTGACAGCCACCCATCAAACACAGGGGTGGCAGTAGGAGGAGGAAGCCCTTTCCAGATGGGAAGTTACGCTGTTCTGAGTCCTGCTGCTGTGGCCAAGAGAAGGAAGAAGGTTGGAAGCTAGAAGGCTAAGTAGCAAGGAGCCAGAGCTGCTGCTTTTTCTTGCAACAGCTCATGTATACCATGCCCCAGGTCAAGCAGAAAATTATTCCTCTGCATTCCCAGCAAGCCACTAAATGCAATCCCTGACCTCCAGAAATGAAATTTTCACGTCCAGGGGCTGACATCTTACTCTTACCCTGACATCATCTGGCAGCTGAACCAACACCACAAGGTGTCAGGCAGGCCAGAATCTCCACACTGAATACACAGTTTGTTGTTTGTTTTTTTTTTTTCCTGTCAATATTGTTACCACCAGCTTTTAACACAGTATTTTTAAGGTAGCCAGTGCTGTGTGCTGGCAGGAAGCTACACCAGTGGGTGAAGTTAACTCTTCTGCAGAGACAAGTCTGCAGCTCTAACATGCCTAGGCCACATCACTTCACTCATCAAACAGTTCAGGGTAGAGAGGACACTATTACTTTGTAGGACTTCATAGTTAAAAATAAGAAAGGATTTAGATTATCTGTTTTTCTAATATTTTGCATATATAATATTTAACAGATAGTAACTTTGATTTAGAGTGAGAAATAGTCTACCCATAAGAACTGCCAGACATTAACAAAATTCCTGTCAACAGTTCACACAGAAGACTCCAGTAATATTAATACACTAGGTTAAAAGAGCAGAAAGATGCACTCTTGATACTCACTAGCTGTGACATGTTGTTAAGTATAACCAGGTAAGTCCAGGCATTGTTGAAGCTGAAATTTCCTTCATCATACACTCCCACTAGTTCACAAATTCTGAAAGAATTTTTAGAGTTAAAAACTACACAGTAAAAGATCAGCTTCTTTTAAGTGCTGTATCTTCATTACACCCATCAGCGGTTAGAATCCAAAATCTCTTTTGGAACTCAAATATAGGCACTGGGGGATATGCACAAAAATCACTTTCCAACAGCATATGGCATGGAAAATACAGTATGCATTTCCTATAGACAAAACAGCGTTTCAATGAAATTCAATTAATTCAACAACTAAACATTGTGTGGTTTTAACTTTTTTTTGCTTTTAACTGTTAGAACACCTACAGCCAATATTTATATGGATATTCTTTGGGAGTAGCAATTTCTTCCACAGTCCCACAGAATTAACAGTAATGACCACCAATACAGAGTTCATGAAATTAAGCTTTCAGCACCAACATGCATTAGCTGCCTGCTATTCCTTTATAACAACAGGTTATACAACATGTATGATGGCATAGTCAGGTCTGTCACACACAAAGTTTAACAAAATTTAGAAAGTTCCATGAACCTGACTTTAAAAATACCAACTGTTGAAGTCAGGGAGAAAAGGGAGAAGTAAAAAAAAAAAAAACAAACCTCTAAAAATTAAGAGATCATGAAAATGTTTTTTCCCCACATCAACAGCACTTAACATTCTCTCCCACTGCTATCAGCAGAAGGCATTAAGTATTTATTTCAATTCTGCAAGTAGTCATTTGCTATAGGGAAGTCATAAAGAAATCATAGATTGATTCAAATTGCTGGGACGCATTAAGCATGTAACACAATGAGTCTGCTTTCAAACTGCCTCAGTTCAATAAAAAGGGCATGAAAATTCTTTCCAGCATAACTCAAAATTGTATCCTGAAGACCAATATTAATTATTTATGAGCATACTTACAAAGCAATAATGGTAGTAAATGGTCTGACAACAGTGTACTGCAAAACACCCAGTTTGCATCTAAATAATAAAACTCTGCAAGAGAAAGACAAAATTCATTGTACAAGAAATTAAAGACAATTCATTTATGGAAGTTTCCTGCTCTCAGCAGTTAAACTGAATTTTTATTTCACGGTACTTTCAACTTCTACTTCCAGGACTTCAGGTACTACAGTTACAGTGTGTATATGCACATTACAGAAAACCCTAGACTTTCATAGACACCTAACAGGAAATATTCAATAATTTACCATTTAGGCATGGAAAACTTCTTTCTGGGCTAAACAAAAAGAATGCAATTTTCACTGTGCTGGAAGGTATTTAAGAATGACTTACTTTCATGGTTTTTCTTTAATATTTTAAAGAGCTTTATCAAAATCTCTTAAGAGATGCTTATCAGATTAAGCATGCAGAAACAAACAGTTCAGGGGCATATGGCCTTCTGTCCTTCACCTGTAAAAGCAATAGGCTATCTGGTCTACATAAAGGTTTTGGCAAACATACTGATGGCAAAGGAAGCAAATTCAAGGGGACGTTTTCCCAGTACTTTTCAAAACCCAGAAGTTTCCTTCAGCACCACCTGAGTTAATGCATGTTAGAGAAGTAAGTGTGATTAATACGGTGTTTTACATGTTTACAGCTGCTTTCAGTAGGCAATCATAGTTGATAAACTCTGCCAAGCAAAAGTTATACTACTAAATATGAAAACAAAACATTTGTATCCGATTACACAGGTTAAAATTGTAAGATGTCATCATATACTCACTCTCCCATAGCCCACGACGGACAACAACATAGAGGTGGCAGATGTCTCTGCTGATCTTTTGCTTCTATTATTAATACGAGGTTTGGATACCGGTTGGTTAGATAATTTGAAAGAAAAACCATAAAGTTATAGATGACATAAGCTTCATAGCATTCTCGACATGTATCCACATATATTGCAATGTTGGGGTATTTCAAAGCTATCCACTGTAAGAAGAGAAGTACATAAAAGATTACATGCAAGAAAGACCAAAGTGATTCCAATAACAACACTGGCTGGCTAGTTCAGCAAGCAATACTTCATCAGGCAGCAAGCACTAATTAAACAGGGCTTGAAGCATTTGGCTGATGAGAGTGTGACGCTACAGCTAAAAAAAATAACGTTCTGTAGAAATACTAGTACATTTTCAGGTTTTATCTCTGCTGCTTCAAACGCTTACAGCACTGTGCAGGAGATGCTCTGTATCTTTGACCACACAATTCAGTCTTTCATTTAAAAAGTAACTAAGGAGATGGCTCTTACACATAACCTACTCCTTTCAAGAGACAAGACAGAACTGTTTCCCCATATTCACATATTCGTTGTCAATATGGGTTTGAAAACTACATTTTTAGCCTGACAGTACAGAGCTGATCTGATTTATTTTGGTTTCCAACATGTAAATGTTTGCTCTGGCATATTTGCAAAATATAGGAAGAGTGTAACAGATTAGACTTAAAGTGGTAGTCATTCCTCTAAACCAGAATTTCAGACAGAAAAGTGATTTGGGGTCATTTGTTTATTCTTTTTTCTTGGGTTGTTTTTTTTTTTTTCTTCAGAACTGTGATTATGCATCAGCTGTCAGAGCTTCCAATTTTGAGTATCACACTGAAACTGTTCAGTGCAACCTGTCCTGCTGGTTTTGATTTTTGTCTGGTTGGGGGTGTGTGGTGTGTGCATGTTAAAGAGGCAGCTCTTTTGAGTTTATGTTGCTTCCCTAGGTTGTAACAGAGCAAATGTGCCTTCTCTGACCTTCTTAATAGAACTATGAAGAAGATGCTTCACATCCTCATCACAGTTAAGAAATACTAGAGATGACAGATAGTGCAAAACCTTTGTGGAAGTTGCAATACTGCAATCAGCAAACTGAGAATACAGCATTTGAATCTGGGAACTTTATGTTCAACTCAGATTAAGCACTCTAGGAGGACACCATATATGCAGCAAAGGCCAAAAGATCCAGGAGCCTGAAGAAAGATTTCAGTATGTCAGAAATATCCCTGAATGCCTGGCTAGAGCTCATTTACTTAGCAGGTAATTTGCTTCCAAAGGAAAATTCTGTACTTCAAACTGAAATAGCAACCTGAGGTACTTGACATTCCCCACAAAAAACAGGTAAAGTTTTGTTCCCCACTCTCCTTCACTCTGAAGATCTCTTTAAATCCCAGTCTTTCACATATATAGGATGACACTTCAGAAACACTCATGAGATTGAGGGGGGGATAAGAACAAAAAGCAAAACAAAACAAAAATATCAAAGGAAAAGTTCCTGGAAACCTGTCTTTTATGGAGGAAACAAATATTTGCGATGTCAGGAGGTGATGACAACATGTAAACACACATCCTGCACAGTCTGTTGCTTAGCCCAGGCTGAAATCATCTCCACAGGTGACATATTTACATGAACCATATCTGCTATGGCCAATTCTATGGCATAAAATACCGAGAATGAATTTTTTTGTGGGACCTTATCCTTTGCCTCCTGAAGCAAAAAGGAAGAATTTTAGCACTAAGCATGATTTGGGAAAGAAAAGTAACACACTGAATTTTGAGACAGTACTTGGATCACTGTTTTCCAGTTCAGCTGTGACTGAAGATGGAAGGACCAAAAGCAGGCTTTTTTCATGCCCCTTTCCACAACTGGCATAAATGATACTCAAGGACCAGGTTTAAAAAGGGTTAGCAAAAGCAATCCCATAAGCTCCACAAGAAGAACGTAGTATCACTAGAACTAGACTTCTAACATACTCCATAAATAAGAATGCCCAGACATTTCTAGGACTGCGACTCTCCATGCAGCACAGTTTCTGCTAGCTGTGACATTGTTTTCTGCTCACTTCCCCAGCAAACAGAATTTTATTAAGCTGTTAACAGTAAGAGAACACTTACACTGTCTAAACTGTAAATCGGCACCATCCATAGAATCCTGTTACAATAAAAGAACATTTAATATTACTAGTAGTATTTTTAGTCTGAATTAAATTCAACATTTGTAGCAAAGGTAAAATGGGAGCTTTTACCTTATTATTGGTTTCTGTAATTCAGGTTGAGTATAATGGACTAAGTGTTGTAGTATTCCCCAGAGAGATATTGGTATAGTCATTAGTAGAAATATCCCAGCAATAAACCATGCCTTGGTATGAATTCCAACCTTGCAAAGAAAAAGAACAATGCAACATCAAAGTTTCAGTACTAATACTTAAAAGTTTTACTAGTATAACAAGAAAAATAATTTACCTTTCTTTTTTTATGAAATAAAGTTTTAAGATGTCCATTAAGTACATATCCCCAATATAAAGTTTAGTTTTCCTAACAAAAAACAAGTCTCCCTTGCAATCTGTGGTTGTGGCTTAGAGTAAAACTTAAACAAGGAAAAGATGAGAAATCTTGCAGAACCAAACAAAACCATCACCAACAAACACAAAACATTCTACAAAAGCACAGTGATGCTCAGTATTTATTTTTGCTAAAAGCCACAACCAATTCCTTGCTTCAGCTCTGGAACTTGTCTCAGCTCAGTGCTTCATTACAAAGTTCCTGAAAGCTTGTGGATTTAAAGTATTTTTAGCTTTAAAATCAAGTTCCAAGTAGCAGTCAGTTTCAACTAGTTACATTTAAAAATCTGAAGTAGACGTGTGCATACACATGTATATGTCTGCTAAAACACAGGGCTACAACTGGAAACCAACACTCTGAAAAAGTAACTATATTAATAATCCTAAGTACCAAAACCTGAGAAACATAGTAGATTCTTCTCAAACACTTTTTTTTTTTGGTTGAGAATTTCTTCTCTGATTCCCTACTGCACACCAACATCCCAAGTCTTCTGTTGATTTCTGGTTCCAAGATCACTTGTGAGTAGTTTCGCTACCAGTATCAGATTTAATGATTTTGAAATCTCAGATACCACTTCAATACACACATCCATTAAGTTGAACATACAAAAGCATCAGAACAGGGTTTCAAAATCAGAACTTTAACACACTCAAGACAGATTTTACTGTCTTGATTAAAATCATACCATGAAAGAGCTCACCTCCTGCAAAACAAGCCGGTATTGAACTTGACAATATCTATTTTTTTAAAGTTAAAATTTTACTTTCTGTTAGAAAAGTAATCCTATCATATGAGTGAATCATACACTACTATTATGACATACTTCGGTACCACCAGCATAGAAATGAGGCTTCTGTACCTACTACCTCAGTTCTTCCTGATCAGACAGAGCTACCCAAGATACGAGGTTGCGAATGCCCGCTTTAGTACTACCAAGCGTTAAAACCTAAGTTCTGGGCAGGGCAAAGCTCCAGCCAGGCTCCTGTATCGACCGACTCCCGTTTCTTCAACATCATACCAACTGTTTAAACACTATCATTGAACCGGAAGGAGAAAGAATTCCCGTCCTGTTTCATCTTGCTTCGTTCGTGCTTTACCAGCACTGCAAGCACACACACTAGCGCCCCGCACTCCTCCAAGCCACCCTCTTCCTCGCTGGGTCGGTACCCGGGTCTGAAGCGCTCTCAGCAGAGCCCCGCGGCTACCCACCGGCCCCAGCCCTCACCTCCAGCTTCTGCAGCTCCCACACGCAGAGCGGCACCACCACCAGCAGCCCCACGATGTACAGCAGCACCACCAGCGGCCGGATCCACCGCCGCCAGTTCCCGCAGGTGCACGGCATGGCCGCGGCGACGCTGCCCCGCAGAACCAGGCGGCTCCTCGCACCCAGACGGCGCTCGCGGCGCCTCAGCGGGCCGGCGCCGGGCCCGGCAGCCCCCGCGGGGCGCGCATCACGAGCGGAGCCACCCACACACCCCACAGGCAGTCATCAGCTACCGGCTCCGCTCCGCACCCCACCGCCCACCTCAGCGCAGCTTAGCCCAGCCCGGCCCTGCCCTGGCCCGCCTCAGCGCGGCGCGGCCCCGCCCCGCGGCGCTTCCGCCCGGCAGCACTTCCTGCTGCCCCACCCCAGCCTCAGCGGCCGCGGCGATTGCCCGCGCGCCCTGCCTATTGTGGGCACCCCGCCCACCGCTGGCCGCGCCGGGGGCAGTGGCCGCTAGCGGCGCGCCCGTGCCCTCCCCGGAAGGATGGGCGAATGGTCTCTTCCGGCCGGTGCGTGTGTGTCGGCCCGGTCTCCCTTCCCTCTTCCCCTCCAGCAGTGGTCTCTCCTGCGGGGAGGCGGGGTTGCTACCTGGCGCGGGGCGGGAGGGCAAGTGCTCTCGTGTACGACCGTTAGTTCGGCTGAGGTAGCGGCGCTCCATCGCCGTTGTTTCTTCCCGAGCTGTGCCTGGCTGGCGGCAGATGAACTGATATCCCCCTCACATTCACACACACACACACACACACGCACACGCACCCTGTTCCTTCCTCTTTCGTGGCAAAACTCATTAAGTGACGAGCCTCTCGGGGAGGAAGCAAGTGGTCTTTCCTGACGGACAGCAGCAAGCTTGCCACCTGCGCCGGCAGTGGATAGGGTGGAAAACGCCACGCCTGTGGACTTAAAGGAGAGCCGGAGCTAGTGACATTTATGTTAGGAAGTGTGTGAACAGGCAGAGGTTTCAGGAATTTGAGTTAACAGAGACAGCTGCTATAACTATACACGTCAACAAAGCCTCTCTAAAACACCTTAATCGATGCTCACCTTTGGACAAAGTGGATACCGACATCGGGCAAAGTGAGCAATCTGTAGCAATTACAAAAATGGGTAGTGGTATGAACCTGGCATGAGCACTGCATTCATCTCTGGGGCTCCCAACACATAGAGGGGTGTGGAGCTGCTGCAAGTCTAAAGGAGGCCATGAAGATGAGAGGGCTGGAGCACCTCTGCTAGGGAGGCAGGCTGAGAGAGATGGGCTCGTTCAGCCTGAAGAGAAGGCTCCAGGGAGACCTTAGGCTTCCAGTGCCTAAGGGGGCCCCACAAGAAATCTGGAGAGGGACTTTTTACAAGAACGTGTAGGCATAAAACAAGGGGAAATGGCTTTAAACTGACAGGGGAGATTTAGATTAGACATTAGGAAGAAATTCTTCACTATGAGTGTGGTGAGGCCCTGGCACAGGCCCCAGCGAAGCTGTGGCTGCCCCATCCCTGGCAGTGTTCAAGGCCAGGTTGGACAGCACTTGGAGCAACCTGGTCTAGTGGAAGGTAGCCCTGCCCATGGCAGGGGGTTGGAACTAGATGATCTTTAAGGTTGCTTCCAGCCCCAAAAATTTTATGGCTTTATGAAGACTCCAGCAGATATATGAATGATGCAAAATATATACTGCTTTTGAAGTGGCTTGTAAAAACTGCTACAGCTAAGGTGCTCATTAATTCCATGGTAGCAACTGAGAAAACACAGGACTCGTGCTGAACTAAATTAGTACCATTAGTGATAATCTGCCAGATGTTCAAGGAGCTGCAGCTGTAAATTCTTGGAAGGAGGCAAATGCAGGTTGTAGTTTGAGGTGAGGCTGGGAAGGGTATGCTGTAAGAAACCATATGGAGTGTAAGGTACTAAGGAACAGTGACTGGAGTCTCTCTTTTTTTCTCTCTCTAGCTAAACTCCTGACTATTTTCCTCCTTTTTTCCCTTTGCATTGCAGTTGTTTTCCCAGGGTTTCCACTATTAACTTACCACTGGTGTAGACTGTTATTCCAATAATGGAGCTACATGTTTTTTTGAATAGTTACTATCTCTGTATTGTGGAAATGACTGGAAACATATTTTCATTGGAACTATGCATGGTGAAAGTTTCCTATTTGTTGAATTGTAGAACCCCAAAACTTGTCAGACTGCTTATCTTGGTGTTGACATAACTAACAGAAGGTGAACAGATTCTGTTTGTAAGATCTGATTGGCCGTTCACATGCTGCATTTATATGACATCTAATAGTTCACATGGCTACATGCGTGGATGAGGCAGCAGCTACTCTTGGAAGGAATTGTTCAGTTGTTTGGGTGCTATGAACTGCCAAAGTAACTCTTCCGCATCCGCTTCAAGGAAATGTCAGTAAAGCTGGACTCAGCACACAAGCCAACAGTTGAGCTATGCTGGCTAAACCTGAAATGGAGATTATGATCGTGGGCTGTTAAATTTTCTTTCTCCATGTTTTAGGAGGAAAAGTTGCTACTGATCTCCTCAGTAACTGGCAGCTCTCTCTACAAGTGATGGCAAGTTATGAAGTCCTTTTCTGCCTGGATAATCACCTGTTTAATTTGATCTAGTACTTCTCTTTTCCACCATTAACTAGAGCTAAGAGTGGTCTGAATTACTATCTCAGCAGCAGCCCTGACCACCTTAAGTAGTAAGTCTGATACCCTGATTGCCTTTTCTACCATTTGCTTAGTGAGTTAACTATAAATTGAATTTTGAAGTTTAGGGATAAGAAACATTTTAAGTGAGCTGAGAGTTCATCCTTGTGTTACAGTGTCGTGGTTTAAACCCAGTCAGGTAATTCGTTCGCTCACTTCCCCCCCTTTTCTTGCCCTCCCCCTGCTCTCGGAGGGACGGAGAGGAGAATCGAAAAGAATGCAACTCCCACGGGTTGAGATAAGAACAGTTTAGTAACTAAGGTATAACACAAATCACTACTGCTACCACCAATAATAATAATGATAAAGGAAATAACAAGGGAAGAGAATACATCATCTCACCACCAGCCAACCGATAACTCGCCCCCCCCAGCCCGACCAAGCTCCGACCGATACCTCCTCCAAGCCTGCAGTCTCCCAGCCCTTCCAGCTAACTCCCAGTTACCTCCTGGGCATGACGTGCTGTGGTATGGAATAACTCTTTGGTCAGTTTGGGTCAGGTGTCCTGTCTCTGCTTCCTCCTGGCCTCCCCTCCTCCCTGGCAGAGCATGAGGCTCACAAAGTCCTTGGCCAAACCAAAACATCGCTATCAGTTCTGTTCCCAGGCCGAAAGTCAAAACACTGCACTGCACCAGCTACCAAGAAGGAGAAACATGACTGCTACTGCTGAACCCAGGACATACAGATAAATATTCAGCTGCAGAGGTGATTTGCTCAAGGTTATGGCAGACTTGTGAACAGAATCTTGTTTGTTCATGATGGCACTGAAGAACAGGTCTTAGATTGTTTTGAGCTGAAATTCTGTATTGTATTATCAAATCAGTACCAAGGTGCTTATTCTGTTGTCCTTTGTTCCTTGTATGTAACCCATTCTTGGCAAGATGGTACAAGTAGGTCTATTAGAAGCTAATGAGCTTAGTCATATTTAATAAAAGGAAGTATGTAAATATAAATACTTTTCTTAAACATGTAGCAGACCCAAAACCAAATGTGTCCAACAATTCCAGAAAACCAGACAACACAAATGCATGAGTACTAGAAATAAGTATGCTGGTAATTTATCAATAATTAATGTATCAAAAATGTTAGAAAACATTTACATCATTAATGAATAAACATAATTTATTTTTTTTTAAGTTGAGGATTTTTTTTTTTTAATTCCTCCTGTACTTTGGTTCATTGAAGAACAACCACTGGTTTGGTTTTTAGGTGTTAAGGGTTTTTTTTTTTCACTTCCCTGAGAATATCAAGATGAAAGCTCATTCTTAATGATGTTTTTCATGTAAGTTTTTGCATCATTTGTAGTACTCTTAGGGTTTCTTCAGCATTTACTGCCCCCCAAAAAAATCCTTGGGGAGAACTTAAATGCTTCACAGACTTCAAGTCATTATTTTGAGGTTTTCCAATCTTTTTCTATCTACTGGTGTTTTGTGTGCTTGCCTCATGTTCCAAAGTAGGCATCTTTGCCAAAACAAGTCTGCTCTTTGTAGTTAGATTTCTTACAAAGCAAAGCTCGACACAATTGTGTCATACCATTACTGGGCTGAACTACCCGTCCAGTGAAATTGAATCTTTCTGCCAGTTTCAGCCCAATCTGAGTCAAGAGTCAAAGTCCCAAACTCCAATATAATGTTCCTTTAAGTTTTGTGAAGGCTGTTAAAGGGGAAAAAGCCAAACTAATGCTTATATCTACCCTCCTGAAGGAAGGGAACCTCACTTTACTTATACTGCTTATCACAAGCATACTCACTGGCCAGTCACTGTAGCTTGCTTTTAATTAGTATTTTATCAAGATAAGATTGGACTAGAAAACCTAATAAGTCTTTCCAACGCTGATGTCTTTGATTTTCTGTGATGCTGCAGGGGATTGGTACACTAGACTGAATCTGTGCAAGAAAGGTAATAGAGTTACTAAACTGCATACCCTTCTCCAGTGGCAGTTGTTATGTAAAGCCATATTGTAAATATGTGCGTAAATATAAATCCCCCAAAAAGGTTAAAGGGATACTGCAAGTAGATTGTTTGGAATATTTCGCAGGTTTTTCTACAAAACAAATCAAAAGTAGATTTTATTTTTTATCATAAAACCAAGGCTTTAGGGAATTCTAACAGTCTAGAAGGAAATGAGGTTTTCCACCATTTCACATCAAAATGTGTGAGCAAGTGATGCTCAAACAACTTTGGAAAATGCCAGAACTATACAAAAATATGTAAATAAAAGTATCTTTCACAGGAGAGATGGAACAATCACTCTGTTCTACTTACACTGGTAACGGCTTAACTGGAAAATTGTTCATGATTTAAGAAAAAAAACAACAAAGGAAATATGTGTCTGCTGAGAAGCAACCAGCATGATCAGAAGTTAAAAATGCAGACACTTTCAGGAAAGACTAAAATAACTGTATTTAGAGAAGACTTAAAGGAAACATAATATATGTGTAAGTATTTGCTACAAAAAAATAATGGTATTCTTTTATTTTTAATGGAGATAGCACAAGAGTGCTGAAACTGTGGTAAGTGGAATTGCGTATACTTAAGCACTGTAGTAGGTTAGTTTCAGTGATCTCCACTACTGAAGGTTCTTATTGGAA